TTAAAGTGCCATAAATCGGAGCCTTGTCAGATTACGGTTTCACCTTTGTGCCGTCACAGAGATAACGGGCGATTATTCACGCTTCATGTGTTGCTCAAGAGAAATTAGAGAGATACGAGCATGTGACCTCTGACCTTTCCCAGTTTCAGAGCAACCAGACTCTGTCCCCTATTTTATTACCTATTGTGTTCACCTGGGGTTCCCCTCCCTCATGTGGTTAAATAGTCCTGTTTCCCATGTCCTGGGCCAGTTCGTTTTCTTCTTTCGTCTCCCCACCTCATGTTTGGTTTTGATTATTTCCCATAGCCATGTTTTGTCACAGTTTTGTTAATGTTTATGTTGTTACTTTGCCATAGCCTTGTTTTGACCCCTGCCATGGTAATCTCGTTTGTGCTTTTGCCACAGCCTTGTTTTAATACTTTGCCACAGTTTTGTTAATATTTATTTTGTTACTTTGCCATAGCCTTGTTTGACCACAGCCATGGTAATCTCGTTTGTGCTTTTGCCACAGTCTTGTTTTGATACTTTGCTTTGTTAATCTTTATTTTGTTACTTTGCCATAGCCTTGTTTTGACCACAGCCATGTTAATCTCGTTAAACTTTTGCCACAGTCTTGTTTTGATACTTTGCCACAGTTTTGTTAACCTTGCTTTGTTACTTTGCTCATAGTTTTGCCACAGCCCTGTTTTTTAACCTGTTTTTGTTACAATAAACCCTGTTTTCTGCATGAGTCCTCCATCAAGATCCACCTCCCTGACAGTTATCTTTGTTTTTGTATCAGATGGACAGATTCTCTGAGTTATTTGTCTGAGCCCATTGGATGAGAGGATGAATGCTAATGCTAATGCTAATGCTAATGCTACTCTGTGTTTGTCCAGGTTGCTAGTCGGGGCTCCCTTTGAGTCCACAGGAGATCAGCAGACCGGAGACATTTATAAATGTCCGCTGGACACCAGAGACTCTGAGAACTGCAGCCGACTAAACCTGGGTGAGAAAAAAAATAAATAAATAACACTTTTATATAGCATCTTCAAGGCAGATAACTCTTTTTTACATCTAAATCTGCTATTACTGTTAATAAAAAGATAAAACTGCTCATTTCAAATTATTATAAAACAAATATTTGTTTGTCGGTTTTTTAGAAGTTAAATTACCATTAAATGGCCATTTTCAAATAACATATCATTGTTTTGAGCAGAAGATTATTCTAATTGTTTAAAAAACTAAAATGAGTTTTTTAGTCTTCTCACTTTTTACGTATGTTGATAACAAAAAACTGAATTCAAAAAGGTTCCTGAACACGATGTTCGACTTCCAGCTATGAACAGAATAACCCCACATCTCTGTTTCTGTTTGTCGTTTTGAAACATCCACCCTTTTATTTTTGAGTTTATTCTCTTCTTTTTACAATATTCAGCAGCTGTCTCAGTCTCTACTAGTTTCCTTTAAAGACAAATTAGTGGAAAAGATAGATAGATAGATAGATAGATAGATAGATAGATAGATAGATAGA